AGAGAGAGAGAGAGAGAGAGAGAGTCAGTGTGATAATAAAACATTTTGCTACTTAATTGTGAGCATATGGCTAATTTGCGGAAAATAAATTTAAGATCTAATGAAATGAGGCAATCGAGTATATTCTAAATTTAATTAAACATTATTTTATTAACGCAAATGATGTAAATTTTTGTAAAACAAGTTTTAAAACTTCTATCGTTTTTATTATTGGCGTCTCTCGGGTGCTATGAGGCAAGTCTATAGAGAGGGCCAGTAGTCGGCCAGTAGTTTGATGTGTTTCTCTGCCCACGGGATCAGGTGTTTGGCGATAAACTCCCGAAGCATTGCGTCGACTGCGCCGTGAAGTCCGGCGTATTTCGGTGGCGCCGCCGGTGAGGCGGACCGTGCGGTCGACTCCTGGAGATACTGTTGACACAAGTCGTTGAGTGACAGAGAGTGCAGCGATTTGGTGATGGACTGGTCGCTGGAACCGCTGCTCAGTCGAGCTCTGGTTTAGTTTGAAATAAATGAAATAAGACATTTATTTGTCAACAAAATTTAGTTCAAAACATAGTTTTATTTATTTGTAATCAAGTTTTTATAAAATATTTATTACAGCGTATGATGTGTTTAAACATAGCATTTTGTGATGTAATTTATTTTATATTTAATTAAATTATAAATTGTTAGCTTATTTAATAAGTGTTTAATTAATATAAATTGCTTAAGTTTTTAAAATTATTTATTATTGTCTTAATAATTGTGATGAAAGAAAATAAACATTTATAACATAATACAAACAGTAATTTTCGTACAATTTATCACAAAAATATTAATGTGTTTATACTTTACAATCAAATATAAGAATACAATAAATGAATACTAATTGCAATGTGTTTTCAATTAATAATTTCGTTGATTAATATAAACGCCAATAATTTTCGCTGATTTCCAAGTGATAGCCATTTGTGTGGACTTTACGTTTCCATAGAGTCTAATGGTTTGTATTATTGGCAATAATGACAACCAATTCTGAATTCAATAAAATCTGAAAACTAATTAAATTAAAGTTTTATACTTAAAATTACTGATGGGGGAATTGTAACCCAGGTTATTAGAGTGCAAGTGTTAGGGTGGCATTACAAACAATGTATGAGACATTAAAACAAAATCTCATTTCTAATCACAAAACTTTAAAACATACTTTCATTACAATTAATGTTTGATTCAATATTTTAATATACTTTACATTAAACCATTTTTTCAATTAGTAATAAGTGATTATTAATTACATATTAAATGATTTTTGTCACAATTTTTTGTCACAATTTGGTGTTTAAATGGAAGACAAACACGCTTTCTCTTAAAATTGATTTAATTGTTGTATTAATTGTTTGTTTCAATCTTTTTGTGTGGAAAATGTCTTAAAAAATAAAGTTCAATTTAATGGGTAAAATTCCAAAAATTTTATATTAAAAAATTTTATTTTTTTTATTTGCAAAATTAATTAGCATCGTAAGCATAATTGAAATTGATAAAAATGATGTTCAGTAATTACGTTATTCACTATAAAAAACGTACATAACTGATACTAAATTTTTTAATTTTGATATAACTTGTATCTCTTGTCAGATTTGAGAAATTCATTTGAATCTCGATTCTACTCATCCATACCTTTCTATTGATATATTATATGATATGGTTATTTATAAAATAAAAGATTTGATTTTCAAAATTTTACCGATAAAAGTGATCACTACCGCCAGACCCGAAAACATACTTTGGAACTACTTATAATTGTGAACAATTGTTTTCCTTAATGAAAGCCCGAAAGAATGATACAATTAAGTGATGATTTATTAATTGCTTATCTCTCACTCTGTGCATTAGGGTTGAAAATTCCTACTGGAAATTGTTCCCAAAGGAATGTTCCTAGGAATATTCCCTGGGAAAATTGGGAATATATATTTATTCCCTTTGGGAACATTCCCAATCACCCCCAATTGGGGGCAAAANGGGAACATTCCCAATCACCCCCAATTGGGGGCAAAATGGGGGTAAAATGTGGGGGTCGACACACTTTACTACTGGCGCCATCTGGTGAGTGAGCTTTTTGGGTGGGAACGTTCCGGGAATATTAGCACTGGGAATATTCCCAATTGGGAATATTTATTATATTCCGGGAATTTTTTCAACCGTACTGTGCATCAAATACTATAAAATCCAATATTAACAATATTATTCACAATAAATGATTAAATAAATATTGAATTTTGTTAATAAATCTTAAAAATATTATTATTATCCGTTAAACAATTTGATTTTTCAATGAATTTCTAATACAAAATATTGAATTTATCTAAACCAGCCTTAAATTTGCTTTCCCCCACTTGTTTCCCCCTTTTCCCCCAACAGTACTTAAAATATATAATAATAAAATATTTCAATTTTTATATTAATTTAATCCAAACTCTTAATGCGTGTATAACTTAAAAAATTTTGTTTAAATAAATAAATAAAACAGTATTTTATAGTAATGTTTTTTATTTCAATTGTTATAAAAGCAAATTATAATCAAAGAAAGTCAATTGTAATGGAGGTTTGATTGTCTGCTTTAATATCTTTCAGTATATTTTTACCATTTATATAAAAATAAATAATTTTCGCAGTTTTCCAATCGTTGATACAATTTTGAATATAACATTCATAGCCGTAGAGTCTAATGGTCTGTATTTTTGGCAATTTTAACAATTCATACAATATATTGTTTGTTATATTACGGCAACCGATAGACAAATATTGAAGTTTAGGGAAATTATTGGCAATATTTGCCAAAAACAATGACTTAACGTCAGTATTAGAACACGATTTTAAATCAGATTTTTCTATTATAGAACCGATCGTTAAATGTGTTAATTGTTTGCATTTATTCAACGATTCTCTCATTAATACAAACTCTTCGGAGGAAAAACCTGTGACTTCTAATTCAAATCGTTTTAAATTGAAGTAATCATTGATTGTTTCAATAAATGTGTGAAACTCTGAATTCCAACGCAAATAAATTGATAGTCTCTTGAGTTTACGGCAATTAATAGCCAAACGTTTCAATTGATCGCCAGATATAATGTTTGAATTCATTTCAATCTTGAGATCAATTAATTGTGTCATTTGTGACAAACCATTCATTAGTATTGAGTTCTCTTCGGTTCTTCTGCTATAATTCTTGACTTTAATTGCTTTCAATTGTTTGCCATATATTCTCACAAATGATTGAAAACTATCCATATTTTCATTCGTGACTTTAAGGGAAACTTTTTGTAATTTCTTAAACAATATCTCATTTCTATTACCACTCAATAATACAGACAACGGATCAAAATCGGTGTGAATTGTGGTTAAGTTTGGGAAAAACTTGAGACATGTTTTGCTTGGCTGTGGATTATAGCGATTCTCGTTGACTGCAATGCACTTCAATTGTGGGCCGTATTTAGCGGACAATATCTTCAGATCTGATTCGTTGAATATTACACACGATATTGAATGCAATTTATGGCAGTATTTCATAATTGTCTTCAGCCTCTGTTTCCCAAAGTCGGTAATACATGTATTTGTGATATTTTTGCACTTTTGTAGTATTAATGCAAATGTTTTGTTACATTTATATGTGATTTCAATTGGGATCTCGTATTGAGTCTCATATATAACTCTCTGCCACTGTTTGGACACCTCTTCGTATCGGAACCGCTCTTCGAGTGACAGATAAGACAACAATAGTTGACACAAATCATCACCGAATCTGTCCATTGAGTCTCTAATATATCCATCACTTCTCATATCAACTCTTCTTCTCTTCATTTCATTCATTATTATTCATTCAATAGTTGTTTGTATTCAACACTCAATCACTTCTTGTGGTTATTCTTCCACTTCTTATGAGACAATAGTTTGCTTTCAATTCATATAAATCTATAATTAAAACAGAAATAACATTAATATTAAACACAAATTGAGATAAAATGCAAACAAATTAAACAATACTTACATTTAAAACACATAATAATCACAATTCAAATGATTGTCTCAAATGTGTTGACAATAATAACAACAAAACTTTTATTACATAACAGAAGCGCTAAACTGATGGCCAAATGAGAGACATATCATAAGTTTGTGTGCATTGTATACAAAGGGCACAAATTGTATGCATTTATTGCCGTACTTTTGGGCCTTTATATGAGAGCGCATTAGATATGCATTTATGCCCTTATATTGCATTCAATTGCAGTTCAATACAAATACTTTTAATACCCAAAAGAGAGCGACATTTGTCTCATAATGAATGAACACATGGTTTGTCTGCCTTTGGCTTAAGTTTTGTAAACAATTCATTCAATTATTGTTTGAAAATTAATTAATTAAATATTTAATTTTATTTAATATTTTAATTATGATTACTATTTTGTGTTTAATATAAGCGCACAAAACAAACATAATTTGTTTTAACGATGAGTTATGAATACAATTACTGAACAAAATTAACGTTAAATATTGTGTTTGAAATGTAAGTGAATTTAAAATCAATGAATTTTATTTGTAATAAATATTTATTTATATTTTTATTATAGATTTAAATGAATTGAAAGCAAACTATTGTCTCATAAGAAGTGGAAGAATAACCACAACAAGAGATTGAGTGTTGAATACAAACAACAATTGAATGTAAATATAATTTGTTATGAAATGAATGATTGGATTGAATATTGAGTGAAGTGTTTATTATATGTAATTGTTATTTATTTATTACAACATATTGTTTATCACTTTAGGCATCAGTTTTTAACGGTTGTGTGAATTAAATGTCAATCAATTGAATAATAATGAATGAAATGAAGAGAAGAAGAGTTGGTCTCAGAAGTGACACAAACAGAAGACAATCAATGGACAGATTTGGTGATGATTTGTGTCAACTATTGTTGTCTTATCTGTCAGTCAAAGACCGCTTCCGATGTGAATGTGTGTCCAAACAGTGGCAGAGAGTTATATATGAGACACAATACGAGATCACATATGATATCGCAGAAAAAATATGTGACAAAAAATTTACATTAATAGTAAAAAAGTGCAAAAATATCACAACTATTGAAGACTTTTCATCGAAAGCCTGTTTGGAGACAATTATGAAAGACTGCCATAAATTGCACACAATTTCCGGTCATTCGTATGTTTGGGCAAAAAGTGTGGAAATAATTGACAACTTTTTTGCAAAATTTGCGAATCAATTGAAATGCATTGAAATTGAAGAGAAGTGGTCTACAGAAGACTCTATACTGACTGGTGAGAGGCTCAAGTGTTGCACTCAATTGACACACATTGAGGACATGTCCGCACAGTTTTCACTACTCAGTCGTGAAAACGAGATATTGTTTCCCAAATTACGAGACGTTAGGTTTGAATACATCGATGAAGACAGCGATCAGTTCCGGGCTTTTGTCCGCAATTATGGCAAACAATTGAAATCAGTTTTCCTTCTGCTCTCCAATGACTGCACAGAGGATTCAATACTAATCAATGGCTTTTCACAAATGACACAATTAGTTGATCTCAACATTTCTTTGTTATCCAATGAGATCTCTTGCCATCAATTGAAACAATTGTCTCACAATTGCCCGAAACTCAAGAGTCTATCGTTTAGCTCGAGTTGCGATTCAAATGATTTTTTTACTAAAATTATTTAAACAATTAATGATTTCTTCAAACATTTAAAGCGTTTAGAATTTAGGGGAAAATTTCCCGAAGAGTTTGTATTAAAGAGTGAATCGTTGAATAAATGCAAACAATTAACAGATTTTTCTGTTGTAAGAATTAGAGCCTCTAATGCTTTCAGTGATATAAGTGAAGAGTTATTCACAAATATTGCCATTAATTTACCGAAACTTCAATACTTGACAATTGACTGCAAGAAAGTAACGACAAATATATTGAATTCATTGTCATTATTGCCTAAAATACAAACCATTAGGCTTTGGGGCGACGAAGACTACACCGAAACTGATGTCAAACCTCTCAACGATTGGAAATCAGTGAAAATTATTGGCGTTTATATTAACCGCAAAAATATATTTGACAAAAATGATGGCAACTCTTTGGAAACGGACTCTTCAGACGACGATTATTGAGATTCATAACCACTCGATGGCAGACAAGACTTCACACAAACGGTTTCCAAGAATTTCAAATGAATGGCATTTTATTAAAAAAAATTATTCTTATTTTTTGTATTTTTGATTACTTTTAATTCACTACAAGTCATACAATTGTATAACAAAATTGATTATTTTTATTTAGACTTATTTTAAAATGATTTTTGAAATAATTATTGATTTCATAACAATTAAACATTTAATTTGATTTACTATTGATTTAAATATAATTTCAAGTATTTATTATTTAATTAATTAATTATAATTAATATTTTAAGTGTTTATAAAAGTGTATGAAATCTATGAAAAAAAATAATAAATAATTATACTTTAATTTAACTTTAAAAATTTAATTAATTCAAATGTTTTATTTAAAAATATAATTTATTACAACTATTGGATTGACACTAATTTTAGATAAAGATTAATGTGGATATCATAAGACTGGGCAACATCTATGTGAACACCTGTGCCAACACAACCCATACTTACAATTCCTTTGATTCGTTAATTCGTTAATTCCTTTGAAAGTCACCTAAAAATAATTATTAGAATTATATTTCCGTTTTATTTAAACAATCCTTTTATCTACCATTTGATAAACACTTAATCCTTATATTTGTCACATATTTTTGGTAATAAATACAGAGATTTTAAACATAATATCCAATTATAATTGATAAATCATAAGTTATGAATCATAATATTTTCAAATTTAAAGTTTTCATACTTATGATGAATTGGATGTCTGACCAGAGCTGAGAACAGAAATCATAAGAAGTGTTTAATATTTATCACAATTCAGTCAATCGTTTTGATTTAATTGTGTTTTAATAATTCATTGAGTTTTGCATTGCGTTTGAGTTTTGGTCTCAAATATAGGCATAAATTGTGTGAAATGTAAGTATTATTTGAATGACAAATGATTTACTATTTAATGCATTACTTATTCATTACAAGTCTATTCGTATTGTCATCACTTTAGGCATCACTTCTTCACTGAAGGCATCACTTCTTCACATCCAATGAAGAGTTAATCAATTGATTCAATAATAATGGATGAAATGAAGAGTAGAAGAGTTGACACAGAAGTGAGACAATCAATGGACAGATTCGGTGATGATTTGTGTCAACTATTGTTGTCTTATTTGCCGATCAAAGAGCGGTTCCGATACGAAGAGGTGTCCAAACAGTGGCAGAGNAACTATTGTTGTCTTATTTGCCGATCAAAGAGCGGTTCCGATACGAAGAGGTGTCCAAACAGTGGCAGAGAGTTATATATGAGACACAAACAGTGTTATCATGTGACGGCACAACTTATAATTTAAGTGACAAAACTTTTGCATTACTACTAAACAAGTGTAAAAATATCACAACTATTGTTGGCTTTCGGTGTGTGAATAGTTTTGAGGCATTTATGAAATACTGCCATAAATTGCATTCAATTTATGCAATGTATTCAATCTATTTTGACAGTGAAAATGTGAAAACAATTAGGAAATTGTTCCCAAGATTTGGGAAACAATTGAAATTTATTTGCATAAATAATATAGACTTTGATAAACGTTTTTCCGCTGGACTCAAGTATTGTCCAAATCTAATACAAATTGAATTAAATATTGATTCGTTGTCTGTATTGAGTGGTAATGAAAATGAGATTTTATTTAAGAAATTACAAAAAGTAAGCTTTGAGTACAAAAGTAAAAACAGCGATAGTTTTAAAACATTTGTGAGAATATATGGCAAACAATTGAAAGCAATGGAAGTCACAGTTTTCGATGAAATCGCAGACAATTCAATACTAATGAAGGGTTTGTCACAAATGACTCAATTAATTGATCTCAAGATTAGTCTCTATTCAATAGAAGTCAGCATATCTTGTGATGAATTGAAACAATTGGGTATTAATTGCCCGAAACTCAAGAGACTATCACTTCGTATTCAATACGAATCAAACGAAACCTTTTCTAAAATGATTGAAACACTTAATGATTACTTCAATCAATTGAAACGTTTAGATATCGGCGGATATTTTCCCAGAGATTTTGTATTAATGAGTGAATCGTTGAATAAATGCAAACAATTAACACATTTAATAATAGTTCCGAGAAATTGTGATCAAAATATTACAATTCATTTCCCGAAACTTCAATATTTGTCTATTAGTTGCCATAAAATCACAGCAAATGTATTGAATTCGTTGTCATTATTGCCTAAAATACAGACCATTAGACTCTATGGCGACAAAGACTACACCGAAACGGATGTCAAACCTCTCAACGATTGGAAATCACCAAAAATTATTGGCGTTTATATTAATCGCAAAAATATTTTTGAGAAAAATGGCGAAAACTTTTAAGACATTTCTATAGCCACCGACTCTTCAGACTCTTAACCACTCGATGGCAGCGAAGACTTCACACAAACGGTTCTCAAGAATTACACCCAATATTTGAATTGAAATGATTTGGTATTAATTGCCGTAAACTCAAGAGACTATCACTTTATTTGCGTTACTTTTTTGGTATAATATTTAAGATTTATGTCAATCTTATTAATAGACATTTATAATTATAACAACTTTTAAAATGTTATATTTTTTCTTATATTTCTTGTAGTTTATAACTTATACTGAAATTAAAATAAGTATTTTTAATAAAAAATGTTTAAATCTTTATTAAAATTTAAATCAAACATTGAATGCGTGTATAATTCAATGCAATTTATTTTATTATTATTGATGCCATAGTCTGTGGATGAATAGCACAATACAGTGAACATAACGTTTATATGTATCGCATGTTTGTATGCATGCTATTAATTAATAAATCTATTTACCAAAAAATTTACCAATCTCTCTCTCTCTCTCTCTCTCTCTCTCT